TCAGTATGTAGCCTTCTCAAATTTGCTTCTTTCATTCATTAATATGTATTTAACTTTCCTCAATTTCTTTTCATATGTTGGTGACTAATTTCTCCTTAATGCTGAATAATAAATATCCCATTGTCTTATGATACCATAGCTTATCCATCCACCCATGGAGAGACAGCTTAGTTTCTAACTTTTGATAAATATGATTTAAACTGATATATATCCATGTGTACCATTTTGTGTGTATAAGTTTTCAGCTACCACGGTAAGTTCAATGTATCACTGGGTTTTTATGGCAATTTTTTTTGTGTGTGAAAGCACTAGAACTTTTCTCAAGTGGCTGTACCATTTAGGATTCAAACCAACAAGTGAAGAATTCTGTTGTTTCATATTATCACATTGGTATTGCCAATGTTCTGGAACCTGGTCTAATAAGCTTGTAGTGGTGCCTCGCTGTAGTTTTAATTTGCATTTCCCTGATATGATATGATGTAGTACATGTTTTCATATGTGCGTTTGTCACGCTGTTAATGTTTGGCTCATTTTAAAAATCATTTTATTGGTTTTCTTATCAAGAATTTTTTGTATGTGCCTTTTGTTAATATTTTCTGCAGGTTTATCTTTTTATTTTTGAATGGAATCTTTTGTAAGTTAGAAAAATTTTAACTTTTTAGATTTTTATGTGTATTAATGTTTGTGTTTATATACTTGCACTGAATGTGTGCTTGTTGACCTTGGAAGTCAGGAAAGGCCATTGGGTTCCCCTGGAACCAGAGCTGTAGGTGATTGTGAGCCACCATGTGAGAACAGAGAAAAGAACCTGGGGTTCTCAAGAGAGCAGTAAGAGCTCTTAGCTGCTGAGACATCTCTCCAGCCTCAGATAAATTAATTTCGGTAAGGACCAGCTTGTCACTATTTTCTCCATGGATCATGCCTTTGGTGTGATGTCTGAAGCCAATACGGTCTGTGTTTTCTCCTGTTATCTTCTTGGACTTCCACGATGTTATGATCCATGATCCATTTTAATTTATTGTAAAAGGTAAGTCTATATGTGGAATTCTAATTTAAAATTGCATGTGAATGTTCTGTTATTGCAGTACAGTTTGTTGAAAAGATCCATCTTTATCCATAGATTATCTTCACCATTGCCAAAGATCAGTTGATGTTATTTATATAATTGTATTTCTGGGCTCATTAGTCAGCGCACTGAACTGTCTATTCTTGTACCTATAAAACACTGTCTTGATGATTACACTTTTATAGAGAATCTGAAGTTCTCCAACTGTCCTCATTTATTCTTGAAAAAATCCTTTTTATTACTTTATCCAAAATAAGTGAACTAATGATTCGTAACTAAACAATCCTTTTTGTTTTGTTTGTTTTGAGATAAGTTCTCTCTGTGTAGTCCAGATTAGTCACGAGCCAGCATGCCTCCTGCCTTAGCTTCAAATTCTGGGAACGTAGGTGTGCGCCAATCACCATGCCCGGCTTGAAATGAAGAGTTGATTGGCACCAGCTAGTAGTCTCTGTCTTCTCTTCTGCCATTTGAAAAATGAAGAAAGAGCTATGGAGAGGTTAATAAGTGTGTGAGTCAAAATATTAACTTTCAAATTTGTATTGTCTAAGTGTGTATGCAGTTGCCAGCATTTCACCATTCCATGCAATTCAGAGGATTAGCTGAAGCCATGTTCTTTCAGAATATATGTTTAAAAACGTATGAATACGCAAGTTATGTATCCGTTGGACTGTATTAAAGGATGCCCAAATCATTCACTCAGTATTCTTTCTGAGTGTGTCTATGAGGAGATTTTCAGATGAAAGTGCTATTTAAAAGGACTCAGTAAAGGAGACTAACTTCTCACTGTAGGTTGCTGTCAGCATCATAAGACAATAGGATATTTATTATTCAGCATTAAGGAGGAATTAGTCACCAACCCATGAAAAGAAACCAAGGAATCTAAAATACATATTAGTGGGTAAAAGAAGCAAATTTGAGAAGGCTACACACTGAATAACTCCAAGTAATGATAATCTTGAAAAGGAAAAATCATGGAGACAGTAAAAAGTTCTTTGGTTGTCCGGACTTCTGGGGAAGGAGGGAAGAATAGAGCATTTCTTTAGGCAGTGAAACTGCTCTGTAGACTACCATGATGTAGAACATGTATCATATATATTTGTCTGTATCATGAAATATGAATTATTTGGTAAAATATGGAGTATCTGAGATATTGTATGTCAGTGTAGGCTCATTAGCTGCAACTAATGTCCCATTCTGGTGGGGAATTTTGATAATGAGGAAAGCTATGCATGTGTAATACTGGGGAAATGTCTGTATCTTCTACTCACATTTGCTGTGGAGCTAAATTTACTCTAAAATGAATGCCTTTTTATTTGAAATTGTTTTCTTTAATACAAAACATTTTGTAAACTATGTTGGTATTTTATGTTTGGAAAAAAAAGCATTTCTTAACTCATCTCAAAACAGTTAAACGCATGATTTCTTCCTCTTCAGGTTCTGTTTGTTTCTGATGCTCCCTGTATCTTCATCTGTATGGAACCTGGCAGCACTGGCCATCTACTGCCTTGGCTGCCAGGGCTGTGGTTTGTCTCTCCTTCCCCACAGCTAGTGTCCTCTCTGCTATGGCTTTCACCTCCCAGATTCTGGCTTTCTTAGTTTTCCCTTCTCTAATATCTAGAGTGTTGCCTACTACATAACTGGGCAGAGTGGAGTGCTGTTAGGAATGTGTCACAACTGTTAGTGCATGTGTCACCAGCTTCCTAAGTGGTGTTCCCTGTGACCACATGTCCCTGAGAGCTTTTCCTCTTGGCGATCTTCCAGCGTTTCACACTCATCACCTCTATGTTCAGAATTCAACTGATTGCAAACTCCCTATGAAATAAGGCCCACCATCACAGACTTACAGAGTTGTGATAAACAAAAACAGTAAATACACAAACATAAAAAAAGAATGACAGCATATGCATAAGCTTTTCTGGTATACTAAAACACATTAAAATTTTTGTTAAGATTCGATATTAATTCTCTGAGACTGAGAGTGTTAACTCAGCTAGCAGAGTGCTTGCTAGTTTGCACAAAACTATAGGTTCAATACCCAGTACTGAATAAAACTGCATGGTGGCCTATGCCTGTAATTCCACCCAAGAGATGGAAGCAGGAAGATCGAAGTTCAAAGAGTCACCTCAACTACTCAGTTCTGGAAAAGCCTGAGCTACATGAGACTCTAGCTCAAGGAAACAAAAGAAATATATAAACAAGTAATGTCTACTTTTTTAAAAAAGGGGAAGCCAATCATTAAAAGAAGCTGAAAATGAAAAATGGAGATAGGCCAAGAGATAGCTAGAAAAATGCTTGGTGCCTGCCTTTCCTGATATACACCTTTCTTGACCCTAAATGGGAATGAGGTCTTGTTGACAGTTTGCAGTGGGATCAAAACCAGAACCTGTCTATATACATCTGTTTCTTACGAAGTAAAAAATTACTTGTACTACTTGTACATCCCTCATAAATGATAACACATAAGCTGGACACGTTATTTGGAGAAACTTGAGAAATCCAAAAAAAACTGTATTAAAATACACTTCTGTTACTGCTCGATGTGGCTACCTCGCTTCACCTAAATTTCTGTTTTTTGCTAAATAAATCGTGAACTTAATCTTTTCCTCTTTTTCGCTCTTTCTCTTTCTTTCTCTGCACAGAGAGTAAGGGTCCTCTTCCCACTAATCTGAAATGACATGTTTATATAGTGAGAATGCCTGTTACTGGAAATGCCCCCTATCTATTTAATAAGATGCTGTGGTCTCCAGGATGCATCTTGACTTTTCACACTTGAACTTAATTATAGTGCCCCCGGTTTGGATTGCACTTGCTCACCTCCTTTTCTGACTACCCTCTGCCTAAAGAAGAGGGACCCGAGTAGACACCTTAGCACCTCCATTCACTTAGCGTTAGTTTTATGTCTGTATTCTTCTGTCTAGTCCACCCGTAGACTGAGACACTCTGAGCCAGAAGTATTTTCATCTTTAGAGTCTAGGGTGTTTGTTAAAGGATACACGGATGTGTTACTAAGGAATGAAATCTGAAATCACGATAGAAGTGGTCCTAGAAACCAGACATTGAAAATGTGTTCGGGATACTTAGCATTCTCGATTTCCTTCACCATCTTTGTCCCCTGCACCGGCCCCCAACTCTATAGCTCATTAAATTATTTATATTTCTTAAAAGTTTCTTGGAGTTTTTTTTTCAAGTTTTAAAAAATTGTAGGCTGGATTGTAGCTCAGTGATAGAGCCCTTGGCTGCCATGCTGAAAACCCTGACACTTAATCCTCTCACTCCCTCTTTACCCCTTGTGGACCGGTCAAATATCCAGTGTCATGTCCCTTTCAAAATCAGGTATTTGTCAGAGAAGAAATGAATTCAAAACTCCTGTAACTCTAGAAGGTCTGGCCCTCTAGGTGGGTGTGGGTCTTGGGTGCCTGGTGTCACAGAGTGCGAGGCCAGCACAAGCAGAGGCAGCAAGCCGCCGCCAGGGTTTTAGGCTCGCCTACCTAAAGTTCTTCGTCATACTGTGTACCACAGGCGTGCGACAGACATCGCCTCTGAAGCAAGCGGCTTCCATAACAACTCCTACAAAGCCACAACCAGCACGGGAGCGTGCGTGCGGCACTTTAGAGCGGTCCGGGCTGGAGGCAGACGGTGGGGTACACGGTGCACACACCTCCGGCTGCTTCGGTCCACCAGGCCCCTTTCCTGGGACCGCCGGTTGGGACAGATATGGCACCGAGGAGGGCACCGGCCCCCAGCAGACGGAGCTGAGGGGGCTGCCTGCCGGGCCGCTCAGGCACCCTCGGGGCGCTCTGCATCCGAAGCGCGAGCGGGAGCCGCGTCACGACGTACGAGCTGAACGCAGGCGTTCTAAGTCACGCCTCCAGGCCTCCCCGCCTTCAGCGGCCCACACGCTTCGCGATTCCAGCGGCTTCCCGTAGTCCCGCGGGGTCTCGCGAGACCGAGGCAGAAGGCCGCCGAGAGCGCTTCCGGGAGGTTACCGTGGCGGCCTCGCCCTGCGGGAGCCGGACCCTGGCGGGCTCGTCATGGACCGCGACTTGCTGCGGCAGTCGCTGGGCTGCCACGGCCCGGCGCTGCTGTCGCTGCTGCGGAGCGAGCAGCAGGACAACCCGCACTTCCGGAACCTGCTGGGCACGGCGGCCGAGCCAGCCCGCGGCGCGGCGCCGCCCCAGGGAGCGGGCAGGTACGGGGACCGGGGCCGGGCGGTGCGCGGGGCCGGCCGGAGAGCGGGAGTCCGGGGTGTGTGGCCTGCCACTGGCTCCTGGCAGAAAGACCGGCCTGCTCCTTCTGAACCGCTGGCAAAGCTTTCAAAGCTTCCCCGCCCCCATTTCCAAGTGGCGACCGTGGGAGATGGGGCTTAAAACTTCTTCCAGCGCTCAGTGGGTAAAGTCACTTGCCATCAAGCTTCATGACCTGAGTTCGATTCCCAGGCCTCACGTGGTGGGAGATGATTTCCCCAGATTGTCCTGTCACAAACACACCCCCAGTTGCACACAGTGGTACGTAGATGCCGCACATCTGCACTAAATAAACATATCGAAAGGCAAAATAATAAAAATAAATGAAATAAAAATTCCTCCAGAGACACAGCCTGGATGGAACCTGGGGAGGGTTGGGTGATGAACACCACTGGCACGAGTTTGGATGCACGAGAGCTTTGCTCGTAACACAAATTTAATCACTCGTCTTTTAAGGAAAGAGAAGAGAGTTGACAACATTGAAATACAAAAATTCATCTCCAAAAAAGCAGACCTGCTTTTTGCACTGTCTTGGAAGTCAGATGCGCCTGCACCCTCCGAAGTGCACGACGATGGTGACAGTAAGTTGAGTCTGTAAAGCTAGAGAGCGGTGGTTTGGTTTTCAGAGAGATCCCAAGGGAGAGCAAGGTCGAAATTATTGTGTTTGTTTTAAAAACTCTTTTTTCAGATCATTATGCAGTCATGCCACCTTTAGAGCAATTCATGGAGATCCCAAGCATGGACCGGCGAGAGCTGTTTTTCCGAGATATTGAACGTGGTGATATAGTGATTGGAAGAATCAGCTCTATTCGGGAATTTGGTTTTTTCATGGTGTTGATCTGTTTAGGAAGTGGCATCATGAGAGACATATCTCACTTAGAAATCACAGTAAGTTACTTGGTAGTAATCCCATGCAAAAATTCTGTGCTTAGTCAATTCCTTTTAAATTTACCTGTTAGGATACTTTGGGGGATTAAATATAAGCTGAAGAAAAATACAGTGACTCTTCTTACTAAAAGCATTAGAGAGTTGGGCATTGGTAGTGCATGCCTTTAACCCTGGTACTCAGGAGGCAGAGGTGGGCAGGTCTCTATTAAGTTCAAGGCCAGCCTGATCTCTGTAGTGAAATGCTGTCTCAAAAAAACAAGTACTAGAGTATTACATTTCCTCCATTTTTGTTTTTTTAGGGTTTGGGGGACTCTGGTTGCAGGTCAGTTTCTTTTTTAAAATTATAAAGATCTACTAATTGGTATGATGATGTCCATTGGTATTCTGGACATACATCTTCTGGTTAAACATAAGTTTAATAATTGGGCATTAGATGTTTGCATGTGAGTAATTTAGCAAAAACTTCCTATCATATATTCAGAATAAATATATAAAATAGTTTGCCTCAATTTGGAATGTTTCCCTTTAAAGCAGTTGATTTTGCTGTCTCACCATCTGAAAAGGAAGAACTACAAAACTAGCAAATGGAAATGCACACCTTTACTCCCAGCACTCAGGAGACCGAGCCAGGCAGATCTCTGTGAATTCGAGGCCAGCCTGGTCTACAGAGTGAGATCCAGAACAGACACCAAAACTACACAGAGAAACCCTATCTCAGGGGAAAAAAACAAAAACAAAACAAAACAAACAAACAAAAAACAAGCTTTATTGTGTTTGGACACAAATAGTTTGTAACTACAAATCTTAAATTTAAGTAACTGACATGTCTGTTAACAGATGCATAAAGCCATCAAAAAGAATGAAACTATGCCATCTCTGGCAAAATGGATGAGACTGAAAGACCCAATCTTTAGTGAAATAAGCCAAACAGAGAAAGACAAATGCCACATATTCATGTTATGTATAAAAGCCCAAAAGTTGATACAAAGAAAGTAGAATAGTGGTAAGAGGAGGCAGAAAGGGATGAGGATAGACAGGAGGTAGATAACTGTTGTCAAAATACAGTTGGACTAGAGGAAAGTGTTCTGTAGCACACTAGTGTGACTGAAGTTTATAACTAGAAAATCTGAAGACTCTAAATACACAGAAATGTTGTATTTCTATTACTAGGATAATAGGATATCTGTGTATTGAATGGCCACCCTATAAGTATTGTATAATTGTACCCTATTAATATGTATAATGCATTGATTAAAAAGAAAATAGTGTTAGACTTTAGTGTTATTGATGTTCATGTTAAGTATTACCCAGTCATAATGAATAGCTAAGATAAAAGGAGATACTGTTCTTGTCAAAGAGTGAAATGTGTGGTGTTTTCAAATACTTCTCATTGCAGGCTCTTTGTCCCTTAAGAGATGTGCCTTCTCACAGTAACCATGGAGATCCTTTATCATATTACCAAACTGGTGACATAATTCGAGGTGATCAGTTTCAACTTAGTAATTAAAATTTTCAAATTAATGTTGAAAGTATAATGAAGGTAATGTTTGAAAAGCTTATTTTTGTTTTCACTTTTTTATTGTTTGATCCTCTTTTTTTTTAAAGCTGGAATCAAGGATATTGACAGATATCATGAAAAGCTTGCAGTATCTCTGTATAGCTCATCTCTTCCACCACACCTATCTGGCATTAAACTAGGTGTGATTACTTCTGAAGAGCTACCTTTGTACTACAGGTACTTATTGTTTATATACTCATAACAAAGTAGAACTATAATTTCTTTATTGTAAAGTGGGTTTTCATTTTCATAACCTTTAAATTACTTTAGGCTTGGTATACAAAAATGGTATTAGTTTTTAAACCTCATATAGTAATATCTTTAGTAGAAGCAGGTGTGCCTTGTACTCATGTGTTTGTGTTTCTGATTTTTCCCCTTAAGGAGGAGTGTTGAACTAAATAGTAATTCCTTGGAGTCCTATGAAAACATCATGCAAAGTTCTCTGGGATTTGTTAATCCAGGAGTAGTTGAATTCCTTCTAGAGAAACTAGGAATAGATGAGTCTCATCCACCATCTTTAATGAGAGGCCTACAAAGGTAAAAGTAGATCTGCATTCTCTAAGTGGTAAGGGGAATGAATTAGCTCAGAAGCTGAATAGCTGAAGAATGTATTTGACCATAGCAACAGGAATATGTTGAAGGCCATAACTGCTCCTGGTCTGGGCTCTAAACAATGATAGGGATGTGCCATGTGACCAAAAAGAGACGGGTACAGAAACTTTGTGTATGTGCTTAAGAAAAGTAGCTGTTTAACAGTAATACTCATATCTGATAGTTAAAGGATTTTGCTGTATAAATGTAATACAAATTTCCTGCTTGATATTCACCATTTCATTGTTGAGTATCTACCAGAGATAGAATGAACTATACTTTTATAAAGTATTTACATTTTTTGACTCTTACTTTCACAGCAAAAATTTCTCTGAAGATGATTTTGCTTTGGCTTTAAGAAAGAAGCAGTCAGCATCGTGGGCTTTGAAATGGTATGGAGGTTGTTTTGTCTAACAGTGGCAGTTACTCAGTATGAAAGTTCTGGCAATTGGTGCAATACTTCATCCTCATAGAGACTAGAATGTGTTTACAGATGAACACCTTTTTGACATTCCTTTTATAGGTAGTACATTGGTCTTAATATTGGAATCTTAACAGACTTTAGTTTTATTCAGAATTGTTTTCCAGAATTAGTGTCTTGATATCTGAGTTTTGTAAATGTTTGCTATGAAAATCTATAAAAGCAGGATGCTTTGTACATATACAGAGAGTAATTTGAAAACTAAATTTTTGTCCAATTTAAAGGCATTTTCTTTTAATAATCATCCATAATAACCTTTTCTTTATTAGATACTTTGTGAAGTATTTGTGATGTTTTATAAATGTGTTTTCAGTGTGAAGATTGGGGTCGATTATTTTAAGGTTGGGCGACACGTGGATGCTATGAATGAATACAATAAAGCTCTGGAAATAGACAAACAAAATGTGGAAGCTCTGGTAGCTCGTGGAGCACTGTAAGTGAATTTTGGATTTTAAGGAGTATTTTTAAGAATGAAAAATGTTTAAGTAGGTCACGAGATTAAATTTCTCTAATTTTGTTTAATGTCTCTAGATATGCAACCAAAGGAAGTCTGAACAAAGCAATAGAAGATTTTGAGCTAGCATTAGAAAACTGCCCAACTCACAGGAATGCAAGAAAATACCTCTGCCAGACACTTGTCGAAAGGGGAGGGCAGTAAGTATGGGATTTCATTTCAGAGTAAAAGTCCAATTAGCAACCAGCTCCTATAATGCCCAGAGATTTATGTAAGGAAGTAGCTTCTTAACATGTGCAATTCAAAGTACTCTTTGTTTCAGTTTTGGGTGGCAGGTTCCTTTCTGTCCCTTTTTCCTGCCTTATTACTGTGGAGGGGTGGGGGGCGGGTCGCAGATACTATAGTGTCTCAGATACTGTAGTGCCTCAGGGTTAATTGCTCTAAATGCATATTTTTGTTACATAGAAAAGTACAAGAGAATAAGTGAGTGTTCTATTCCAGAGTATATACCAGGTTTTGCTCTAATGAAGGATTTAGTTTTTAAATCATTTTATTGTAAGAGTATGTAATGTTGCAGATATGAATTGAGAGATTTCTAGTGAATTGTGATTAAGATTCTGCTGTTATATTCAGCTTGTAGCTCTGCTCTGTCTGGTAAGCTCCACAAATTCAGATTAAATGGTGGAGTTACAAGTATTTGGAAGTGTTGCCACTCTAATTGGTGGCCTGAACCTGGGAGAATAGAGCCTAAAAATGAGGCAGGCTAAAGTCTCATGCAATAGCCAACTGCATTCAGAGCATCAGACAATTTATACTCCAAAGTTACTCAGATGGTTAAGTAGGGTCAGACGAGTTTATGCTGTGTACAGTCACAAGGGCAACCCATGTGTGAAAACACTTTTCAGTAATGAAAGTAAGAAGCAATGTGAAATCCAAAGTAAACCCACTCCTACATACTACTTCTGGGAGGGGCATGAAAGCATATGCCAATAACAAATCCTTGTATGGAGTAACAGGTTACAAGACTCTTGTATTGTTTACTTGCAGCTTTCTCACAAGCTCTCAGAAATCTCACACAGCTTCATTCATGGACCATGTTCCAGCAGGCAATAGTCAGCTTTAATAACTAAAAGCTGTAAAATGTTATGATAACATCATTGTGCTGCTTTTCTTTTTGCAATACTGGGAATGGAACCCAGGGTATTTCAAACATGCCTGACAAGCATTCTGCCAGTGAACTACATCCCTAGCCATCTTTGCTATTATTGAAGAAAGATTGGTATCTTCTATATCATATGTCTTCTGCCTAGCCATTCTTGCTTGAATGAGCATTCCAGCCCAGTATTTGTAGGATGAGAATGGCCACAAATTCCACATTAATGCGATTTCAGTGAGTGACTGGAGAAGCTTTTTCACTGTTACCAAGAAAAGAACTAGTGTCACTGAAATGAGGTTGTCTTATTCCTGGAGTATTGGCATCTTTTAGCTGAGTGAGTGGCTACATTAACCAATTATCCAAACCACAAGTATTAGTCATGATTTTCTTGTCCCTCAGCTCCTTACATCCAGTCTACTGACACAAAACTAACCCCATTTGTTTTTCAGTAATAATTTTTCCTTTAGTTCTTTAGAAGTACTTTGTAAAGTCCTTTCACTGACTTATATACAAACTTCCTTTTTCTATGTAGCTGGGAACTTGCTATTTAGACCAGATTAGCCTCAAACTCATAGTAACTTTTTGCTGCTTTGCCTCCCAAGTGCTGGGATAACAGATTGTATGTCGCCACACCCAGCCAAACTTTCTAATTTTGATTTTCCACAGCATAGACTTAGAGATTATATGATAATGATTGTAGGTTATAATGATGTCTACAACTCTGTGTGTATGTTATTATTTCCAAAGATTTTAATGGTTTCCAGTGCAAATTTTTCCATAGAAAGGAAAACTTCATAACTACTTTTAAGAAGCCATCTTATGTTAGTTGTCTTTTTACTAAGTAAGCACATGAGTAGGTAATTAGAAAATAATTTACTAAACATAACTTTCCCCTGAGTTCTGTCATAAGCTTCTGATGACTTCTGTGTGTACTTGGCTAAATTTGTTTTTACAAAATGTTGAATCTTCCTAATAGGTTAGAAGAAGAAGAAAAGTTTTTAAATGCTGAAAGTTACTATAAGAAAGCTCTGGCTTTGGATGAGACTTTTAAAGATGCAGAGGATGCTTTGCAGAAACTTCATAAATATATGCAGGTGATTCTTTATTTCCTCTTTGAAATTTAATGGTATTTAAATTAATGCCAAAATGTCATTTTCTTTTAGGAAAAACTAGGTTACATAGATGAACTATTATGAAAATGAGTAGCTTTTCCTAATTAGGTTTGACATTGCATTGTAGTATTACTGCTTTTTTGTTTATACTCCAAAGTAAAAATAGCCCTGTTAGAGAATACCTATACCTAAACTCAGTGTGTGATTTTGAGTGTTCCCCTTTGTAGAGAGCTTACCTGGTGGTTATAAGATGAGTATTGCTAATGTAATTGGGCTAATTATACAAACCTTTGTAGACATTTTTTTACCTGTCCTTTCCTGTAATACTGATGATGATGTTTTCTCATGCATTTTCTTCTGAATTGGACCATTGCTGCTGTGTCTGACATCTGGTGCTGCTCATCCCCATCCACAAACTGGAAAATGATTTCTTATGTAATCATGCATCCAACTGGGCTGTGCTATTTTTAAAATGGTTTGTATTTGAACATGGTGATTTTCCCCTCAATTCACCTCTGTGGAATGTCCTTATTTGAATATTGATTGTAAAATTTATGTCCTGCTTACATTTTTCAACTTTTAAAAATAATTTTTTATCTTACCTGCATTCTGGGTCATTGGTACTACTGCAATGGCTTCCCTGTTTTTCTTGGGATACCAACTGCAATATGGTCCTCAATACTGTTCTGGCCATTCAAATGATTAATGCCAAACGTGTGTCATTCATTTTTTTATTTGGAAAAAAATAACTTGTTTAATACTGGCTGAATGGTGATTTGATTACACTAAATTGGGCTTCTGATTGGGGGGGTGGTCTTTTAAATACTGTTTATTGCTTATTCTGCTATTTTTATTTTTAACGTGTGGTTTTTTCCGATATCTGGGTTCTAAAAGAAATCTTTGGAATTAAGAGAAAAACAAGCTGAAAAGGAAGAAAAGCAGAAAACAAAGAAAATAGAAACAAGTGCAGAAAAGTTGCGTAAGCTCTTAAAAGAGGAGAAAAGGTAAACTATAATATTCAGTATTTTTTAAATTTAAAAGCAACTACTGAGTTGAAACCAAAGTGCCATGTGGAGGTAAAGTAAGTAAAAAAAGAAAAAAAAGTATCCTAAGTGATAATTCTTAGCAAGCATATGTTCCACTTGTTTGTCTGTCAAAGAAATTAAGCAAAGTAGAGTCTAAGCTTAGAATTCTTTTTAAAAATTAGGGTTAAAATATAGAAGTTATTTAACTATTTCTGGAAGATAGGCTTTTAGAAGAACTGTGGTTCTTAGATACTGGTGGTTTGTTCTGTAGTCATTGTAAGTTGTGGAAAAATATTAGCATCTAGTGTTTAGAGAACAGTTAAACATCCTGCAGTGCACAGGACAGTCTGCTCCTGCATTCAGGAAAGAGCTGCTTGGCCCAAAAAAAAAAAAAAGAGACCTGTTTGCTGAGGGGGAACATGATGAAACTAGAGGTAGCTAGATAGAGATAGAAAACTCAGGTTCTTCTTTCTTGTCCAGGTAGACATAAAGCAATGATAGAGAAGTCACTGCATCTTTCAGAAGTAGTGGATTTGCTTATAGTGACACCTGTCTCCATAGGCGTTCTCCAAAGTCATGCTTCATGGTAAAACTTGATGCAGTAATTGAGATTATGTCTGAGTGACAGATTATAGAATATCTGCAAGTGATACAAAATAAGGTCAAGTCTTGAGGGATATTTGACTGATTTTTTTGTACTTAACATGTCTGATGAGCTAACTACTCTTTTTTAAGGCTGAAGAAGAAAAGAAGAAAATCATCATCTTCCTCTTCAAGTGTTTCTTCTGCTGATGAATCCGTTTCTTCTTCCTCATCTTCTTCCTCTTCTAGTCACAAACGGCATAAGAAAAGTAAGAGAAGTCGTTCAGAGTCTTCTCGAAGTTCAAAGAGGCACTGGTCTAAGACATCTTCAAGTCACATAGATCAGAATAGGAAAGATGATTGCTACCCAGTTCCAACTAATACTTCAGCATCTTTCCTTAATCAAAAACAAGAAGTGGAGAAGCTGCTGGAAAAGCAGGGTAGGTTACAGTGTCCAAACACACAGGTAAAAGAGAAAGAGAGATGCCTTCTCACGTCTTCAGTTGAAGTGCCAGATGATTTGGGAGGTAGGTCTGAAGACACAAGAGAGTCTTACAATAACTATAAAACCCAGGCAGGTAGTAGCAAAACCGAAAAGCCATATAAGTCAGAAAGATATTTCTCCAGTAGGAGAAATTCCTCAGATTCCTTCTGTAGAAATTCAGAGGATAAGATGAAAGCTTCTAGTTCTAGGAGATTTGAAAAGGACACAGAGGGAAGAAAAGATCACTCTAGGAGGTGGGAGCCAGGGTCTGTGAAGTACTCTACTTCACCAGCAAGTTCGGACTACTCTTGGAAGTCACTGGAAAAACACAAAAAATACACTTCTTCTGGATCACGTGACAGTAGACCTGAGCAGAGACACCAGTTCAATACAAACCAGGGAGAGCGTGCATATGTAAAAGAGAACAGCTGTGGGGAGGGTAACAAAACCGAGGCTCCAGAAGACACAGTAAATAGCAAAGAGCAACCAGAAAGCAGAATTAAGAAAAACTTACCTCAAAATCTACTCAATATATTTAATCAGATAGCTGAATTTGAGAAAGAAAAAGGAAATAAGCCAAGAAAGTGATCTGCTGAGGAAATCTTCACTAAATTTTCAGAAGTCTGGGGATGCTTTAATCCTAGGAAACGTCTGGGTCTAAAATTATTTGTAGCAGATGACAAGAAGTTTCTAGGTTTTGTTTCAGTTATCCCCTTCATCATAGTGCTGCAGGTATGTGCAGATAGAGCTCTTACTCTGGCAACTTAAACTTTTCACCTCAAGATATTTCCTGAGCACTTTGTTTCTTCATTGTATTGTGGTTTGTAAGAACCCTAGGCCTATCAGATCTCACTGTTGGAGAGAAATACGTTTGCGCTAAACAGTTGGATGTTTTATCAAAAAATACTCTCTTTTGTTAAAAAGCCATTAGCTTTTGGGGGGAAATATTATATGTTTGAATGTTTCTTAGGTACTATTTTAAGTCATTTGTTTTAGGCATTAATTTTTTTGCACCGTTTCATTTTTAAGTGATAAATTATGACTTGGTTTACCTCTTAATGCCTGATGTAAATGGTTTGTGAACATTGTTTTCTTCCCAGCTTAACAAAATACCTTAAGAATAATAAGACCATGAAAGTTGGTTAATCAGAGCCTGTTTTACTTATTTCTCCATTATTATTTTTACTTAATGGTTATGGTCGTAAGAAAATTTTTAACTTTAAATATTGACAAAACCCTTAGGGAATTCTAGACAAGACTAGATGAGAATAGAAAATAATTTTTAGCAAAAATAGCAGCAGAGAAGCACCCTATAAATCTGGATTTTTCTTGTCTTAATATTGCAAATGCTTGGGAAGTCAGTAGGCATGTTTCTAAATAGGGGAGGACTGGCTTGCGGTTCTTCTCTATTACTTCCTCTTTATTGAAGCCTTTCTCTGAATCCTAGTGAATGATAGAATAAATTCCAAGCCTCTGAGATAGCTCAGTATGTAGAAGTACCATCCCAGCCGATGGCCTGAGTTCAATCCCAAGACCCCAAGGCATAGGGATAGAACTGACTCAAAGCTTGTCCTCTGACAGCACATACAAACACCATAGCTACACAAACAGCTGATGAAGGAATCATCTTGGACGTCCAAAGAACGTGTCTGAATTACTAAAAATTGAATAGTAGACTCTTGGAGACATTAGTAGGTATTGTAGCTGTTGCACTTACGATGCTCTTTGAGGATTCCAGAAAGTGTAAATGGCAATGAGCTTTTAGTCTCTTGTTGGTCATTAAACAGGATCCACCTGCAGACATACATGAGGGGAGTAGGGAGTGGCAGAAAAAGACTCATTGCATGTTTGTTTGTAACAGTAAAACCCTAAAGTTTTAGTAATGATATGTACTATTTGTTCCAAATTATAGTGATAGAAAACTACTGTAAAACCAGTACAGTAGGAAAACAAACCTTAATTAAGAACAGTAAATAACGGCAGCAGAAATTAGATAATCACTTCAGTATTAGTTTTTGTACCAAGGAACTCAATATATTATTATATTATTACCACATATATGGAGATTGGAGGACAACTTGAGGGAATCAGTTCTCTTCTACCTTACGGATGGATCCCAGGAATCAAACTGGGGTAATTGGGCTTGACAGCAAGTACCTCTGTCCACTGAGCCATTTTGCCAGGCCAGCACCAAGGAACTCTTAAGAGTGCTCTATGTATTAATAGTTCCAGTCTTAATTCTACATAGTGGGGTTTTGTTAAAGAGTAGAAACCACCTCTCTGCATACTGCTTGATCATTGAGAATCCCTAATATACCTTATAATCTTAACCATATCATCTTACTTTACCTTTAGGAAAGTGCCTGTGGGGTAGGCTACCAGAATTTGGAAATTACAGCCTTCTTAATAGGATTACATCTTTCCTAGTAGGAAAGGACATGCTAATTTAAGCAGTCTACACTAATCTAAGCATCTAGTTCCTTGGGCTATTTAAGGAGTCGTCACAGAAAAAAATATTGGAGGTTTTAATTGATCCTCAGTGATGTCTTCAGTTGTTTTTTTCACATTAATATGTCCATAGTTTGTATGTACCCTGGCTAGCTTTGTCTTGGTTTCCATGAGTAGAACTGTGACTTCTGGATGTTAAGATTTAACTCCAGATCTGCAAACAGAGGTTTGGTCCTTTGTCTTGCCATTTAGCGTTATTACATACAGTTAGTGTAGTGATTAAATGTCAACTTGGATGCTGGCCATTCCAGACTAAGGTCTAGTAGTGACTCCATAGGTAGAAGTTAACTACTTATAGTACTATTACTATGCTTCAAGGCCAGTATGTTTTGCTTATATGTTACTTCAATAAGCCTGTAATACAGTTAATTATCCCTGTGTTACAAGAAGAAAAAGCATAGGAAAGTAAGCCTCCTAATAAGAAACAAAACCCCCACCTTTGTGGAACACAAAGTTTAATGTTTAAGTTCCAAGTAACTTACAAACTAATAAGTGACTGAGAATCACAACATTAATAAACAAAATGATAGGATTAATCAGTTTTAGATCCTAAATGTCATGCATTTTGGCAGCATTTCAACTAAAAAGTGCCCACAGTTTTCTTTGCCATTTTAGTTTTTAGATTTAACTATGCCTTTCTATTTCTGAATTAAAAAAGGATTATGAGTAGAAACAGATCTACTACCACTACTGCTTTCAGAAATGGCTGAATAGTGGGTCTAAGACAATCACTGTTGTAAGGTTTAAAGGAGAAGTTCCTTTATATACCTGAATGCTAATATATTTAAAATCTAGCTTTATAGTAGTATTTCACACTCTAGTCCAAAAAGTTCAAAGTGCTGGATGTAAAGTATTAGCTGGAAAAACTAATTTTAAATCTAGTATGCAATATCTACCTCCATTGTAAATTTAATATGTTCAATTTTTTCAAGGTCAGAGTACAGATAGTCTTAGCAACTTAAATTGTACTTTATGTATGCATATATAGAGATAAATGTATATGTGTACACACACACACATATATATACACATACAGTGTTTTTCTTACCAAGGGAGAGGTAATGATGCTATCTTTTTGTTACAAATTATAGCCAAAAATAAGGCCTTTAACAGGTGTGTGTCACCCTCGGAAAAAAATTGAAGGAATATGGTTGTTTGCTTTTTGTTTTTAATTTTAAAAAGTCATTTTGTGCTCTGGAGTAAATGAAAACTTCCTTATTAAGACGTGTGAACCTTTTGAAGTGTATTCCTAAGAGAACCTTCTTTTCTAATCTAAGTGACTGCATAAGACATTTAACACTACAGACATCAGTGTGCTCTCCCCCACCCCTGCACCCCACCCCCACTTTATCACACATGACCTGGCTACAGTTCTGCATTTCCTTCTCTATGAATAAAACACTAGGGGAAAACAAAACCAACTGCCTTTGTTCTTTTCTCAACAGCTGTTTTAGCCACTATGCAGAACTTTGCTCTGCGGTACTTCCAGTACTGTTTTAGTAGGACTGTATGTATCATTAACAAATGGAACCCCAGAAAAAGGGAGACTTAACCATTAATGAGATTTTTCATTTGTGTTCAAAATTTGCACAAGAGATTTTAAAGAATGCTTATTTGCTGGGCTTTTTTTTAGGAGTACTCGAATTACTGCCATTACTAGGTGACCTAGAACCATTGCTTCCTGTCGGAGACCCAGGGAAGTTGAGCTGTAATACTTTAGCTGAAGCGAGAGAAGCAGGAGAACCTGGGCTCTCAGGCGACCTAGAACAAGAAAGGATTTACTATTAACATAATGCAAAATGTACTTAAAATAGACCTTATTGGCAAAAAAAAAATCATAATTCCATAAGTAAAGAACAAGGAAAACCATTAGTGTTAATAAAATTTTAAAGTATGACCAATTCTTTCAAAAGAAGAAATGAACATAGTTTAAGTAGTTCAATAATTGTTTCTGTGAGCAAATTATTTTCAACTGTAATCAGTTTCTTAGAATTGGAAGCAATAGTTTGTAAAATGGCAAAAGAGGAGCAAGTGCTTGAAAAGTCATCAAATGTTAGTCTTAAATCATTTGAGCTTTAGAAGAAAGTGAGGTGTGTTGGCAGGAAAAATGGTGAGAGCGTTTGGAAAGTAGCCATTCAGTTCTAAAATAATTTTATAAAAAGTACAAGAAATTTAATATGTAATAGTAAGTATATTGAGTGGCTTAAAATATGTAGAAGCAGGCTTTTTAAACTTAAAACACTGTCTCGGGGATCCCTTTTTTATTAATATTTTCTGAGAGTTTCACAGACTAATAAAAACTAGTAAATAGCTGTCAGCTGTAGAAATCTTAAAATCAGCGTCATCATTAATAAATCTGTCAACAAAGACTTCGTGGCCATGAGTTATCCCTACTGATAGGTTTCTGGGTTGCATTAAGCTAAGTAAGACACCATAAATAAAAGCTGGTTACATAGAATTTCAAAGAAGCAGCTGTAATTACAAACCTCTGTACATCTGACTTGCCCTTTTACAGTTAAAAAAGATTTAAATTTTCCCAGAGTTGGAGTTCACCCAAAATGTTAGCTGTATCTCCTCAGTTTTCACCCAACTCGTACCCCTAAAATAGCGTACTAGTTAGAATGCATGTGGCTGCAGGGGTCTTGCTATATACTGTGTTTGCATAGTGAGGCTGCTGAAGGTGAGGAGAGTGGGTAGCGTGCTGGCCAGCAGCAGCTGTGAGAGTTGAGGCCTGCTTTCTAACCTTGCCCTTACCTGAGTGATGACTGTGAAGACTGTGAAGAAGATCTGGAGCTCGGGCCTTTCGCTGTAGGTAGTTCTAACCCATTCTGGAAGAATATTTGAATCATTAGTCCTGCCACATTTTAGAAGAAAACTAATTAGATACACAGACATACTATATTATACTCTGTTACCTGCTCAAAATATGTTTGAAGAATGATGTGCATTTCAGCATTTTCCATGACATTCACTAACATTTGGTCAATGTCCCTGTGAAACTGTTTAATCTCACGGAGTTGAATGTCTTGTTCTTCCAGTGTTTCTTCATTTGTTTCTTTCAAAATACGGATTTCTCTCCTGAGTCTGGCACACTGTTAATAACAACAGTCAGATATTACATAAACCTCCTTTCCACCAAGTTCAGGAAATGGGGTTTGAGTGCATTTGGTCCATGACAGTGAATGCTAGGGCCGGCTCTAAGAAATTGTCAGCACCTGCTTAGTCACGCGCTCCATTTTCGGCTGCTGCTCCTCAGTCTCTTTGCGGAGTTGAAGTGAGTAAGTTTGTTTCTCTGATAATTTCTCTTTCACATTGTTTGTTAAGTGTTCTATAACTTCAAAAGTATTTTCCATGCTCTGTAGAAAATAAAATAGTACCATATTCATGGTCAGAATAAAAAAAATGATTTACTTGCCAATTGCCAGCTGTTCCCTCAATTTTAATTATTTTGTTTGCTTATATATGTACTATGTTTACTGTATTAGTGTATAAGAAGTAGAATGATGCTGTGAGTTAGTTTTGAATGTAATTCCACTGGGAACTTTTTCTAGCATTGGAAAAACTAAAGTTACTTGAAATTACCCAATTTTTAAAGATTCACAGTTTGTGTCATCTGTTCCCTAAGTTAGAGCCTACAT